AGTGCCAGGCACTGTTCTAGGAGTTATGGATACAGTGGTGATTAAGACTGAGGTGTTCCCTGCCCTCATGGAGCTGACATTCTAGTAGGGAAACAAAATATACATGTACACATATATAGTAATTATAGATTGTAGAAGTACTAGGAAGAAAATTAACAGGGCATTGTGGTACATAACAACACAAGAGACTTCCTTGGGGCTTGGAGGAAGTTCTCAGATGCTTTCTGAGTAAAAAAGCATCTAAACTAAGACCTGAACAATGGGACTGGGGACATAATTTTGGGTGGAATTTAAAGGCATGCTCATACAACACTATAATGTCTGTGTTATCATTATCCACAATTTACGTGTCAAGAAATCAAGGATTTGAGAGATGAGGTCATGTGCCTGGTGGCATGGTTCAAACTAATGTGATCAATACCAAGGCTAGGCTTTCTTTTTTACCTTCCCTTGCTTGCGGAATCCATGCTTGCATTCTGAATACTAAAAAGCATCCAGGTGCCAGGCATGGCAGCTCTTATCTGTATTTCAGTATTCAAAAAGCTGAGGTGGATAGACCACTTGGCCGGGCATGGTGGCTCACATCTGTAATCCAGTATTTGAAAGGCTGAGGCGGGTGGATTGCTTGAGGTCAGAAGTTTGAGACCAGCTTGGCCAACATGGTCTCTATGCTTTTGGTAGAGACAGCACCCTGTCTCTACCAAAAAATAAAAAAATTATCTGGGCATAGTGGTGTGCACCTGTAGTCCCAGCTACTTGGGAGGCTGAGGTAGGAGAATCACTTGAATCCAGGGGATGGAGGTTGCAGTAAGCAGAGATCACGCCACTGTCCTCCAGCCTGAGTGACAGAGTAAGACCCTGTCTCAAAAAAATAATAATAATAACAAAAAAAGGCATCTGGGAAGCTTTTGCAATCAAGTGTGCAGATTTCAGCTGATCCTTTGAGATCAGCATCCAGTCTTAGTAAAGTATTAAGTACTGAGCAGCTACTACATGCCCATGGCAGATCAACAGCGTTCTTGAAAAACAAGCCAAGTGCATAAGCAAGAGCCCAGACATGGTGTTTGAAAGTGGTACAAGGCAGGGAAGATCTTAGAGGTCAGAGTGCTTGAGCAAGGCAGCTCCGCAAGGGCAGAGCCAGGCCAGGCAGAGAGGAGGGGGCGCAGACTCAAGCTGGGGACTTGCTTGTGTTGTGTGAGTTCAGGCAGGAAGCTGCCTCTTCCAGAAGAGAGCTGAGGACCACTGAAGGGGACTGGAAATACAGCCACACCTTTCCATGACCTGGTACAATCATGAGAAAGTAGAGGAATTGATCCAATTCCCTGGATCAGTCCTTCCATCAACATTTTCTGAGTGTTTAGTTTATAGGTCTCAAGTACTGCATGAGGTATTGTGAGAACATTCAAAGAGCACAGAATCATGATCTCTACCCCACAGGAGCTGAAAACCTCCTTGAAGAGAACTGCTCCTGCTTCTGAAACAACTGAAGAGCCCTTGCACCTGCAGGTGGTGGCACAGCCACGTAAGCCTGGAGAAGAGGGCTTCTTGAAGGAAGCAGACCCGGTGTACATTGAGTTTTAAGGGTGGAGAAAAATTCAGATTGGCAGAGAGGTGGCAGAGTGGACATGTCAGGTAAAGGACATGCCACTTAAAAGAGCACAAAGAAAGGCTAGCTGGAGGAGGAGCAGTGAGAGCATAAAGGACAGGGAGGACCCAGCAGATTCGGGGCAGGGAAGTGACTTACTGAACGTTCCTGAGCAAGGGAGTCACAGAATAAAAGCAATGCTTTCCAAATTATAATAGTAATTCCTTGCCTGCATGTAACATTTCGCTCAATGTTTCTGATTGCTCCACATACATTATCTCACTTGATTCTCACAACCACCCACTGAGGGAAAAAGTTATGGTTGCATTTTATAGCTGAGGAAATGGATGGGAGAAGTTAAATGACTTGCCTAAGGTCACACATGTCGGGGAAGGAGCTGAGACTGGAGCCCAGTCCATCGATCTATGGAAAGGGGAGTACAGCACCATAAAAAGGGCTCAGATTTGGAAACCAGACAGATCTTCATTTCAGTGACACTCCCGCTGGTGACTAAGAAGCCCAGGACAGGTTATTTAACCTCTCTGAGTCTCAGTTTTCTAATTTTCAAATCAGTAACGAGAAACCTTAGAGAGATGCAGGTTTGTTGTGAGGTGTAAAGAATGATGACTCCTGGCACAGAAAAGAATCCTACAAATATTTGTTTTCCTCCTCTTGTTCCACTGCTCCCCACTCAGGTCCTGAACAAACCAAGGGATTGGCCCAACATCCCCCTGCCTCCCAACGGTGCCAATGAAGCTCTGGGGCAAGCGGTTCACCCTCACAACCAAGCAGCACTGATCTGGCTTTTGCAAAACCACAGCCCCATCCCAGGCCATGCAAGGGCTGTGCTGGTGGGCGGGCGTTCAGCACCCAGCACATCCCCATCTGAGAGCAGGCTGTGGTGGGAGAGTACACAGAGCTGTGGAGAGATGGGTGATCTGTGAAGCCGCACAGCACGCTCCACGGTTTCTTGATAGAGCAGGCCCGGATTTATTGTCGTTTTTTTGTTGTTGTTGTTTTTAAACAAACAAAACAGGATTTAATATAACAGCCCACACACAAATACTTGTAAGCAATCTCACCCTTGACTTATCTCTTGAATAAAAGCAATTTCTTATCCTGGCAAAGCTCTTTATTCTTTTGAAAACATTTTCATATACATTATTTCACTTGATCCTCAGAACGCCAGAAGGGAGACAGTGCAGGCTTAACTGTTCCCTTTGAACAAATGAAAACTCCATGGCCTAGCAGCTGGAGGGAGGGGTACCCCAAGCTCCCAACCTCCTGCCCATGGTTCTCTCCCTCTCCTGGAGGCTCAATTCAGAGTCCAGAGTCATTCACTGGCAAGCTCAACTCTAACATCCAAAATCCTCCCCACCCCACTTGGCTACTGAAACATCAGAGATGCCCACGTGAGGCTCATGCAACGGGTGGGGTGAGGATGGCAGTTTCGAAAAGAGACAGCTAACCCTGGGCACATCCTACAAATGTGCTAAACTCCCCAGTCAGAACAGGCAGGGGTCTAAGGAGCCTTTCCTTCCTGCTCCAATCACCCGTTCCAATCCTCTCTTAACCTGGGACGCTCAGAGACACAGAAGACTCATTTGGAGTCAGATCCCCTGAGGTCCCTGGTAGGTCTAGCCCTCAACTTCAACTTGAGGATTTAGGCAAGTCAGTTCACTCCTAGAACCTAGCTCAGAGATCCTACAGGAAGGCCAGCCTGCTAACCCAGGCCATGGATTGACTCCTAGGTACAGCAGACCTGCTTCATCCAGCAGTATGCAGAAGCCCAGGACAAACAGCAAGCAAATATTTAGCAGCAACCAAGAAGTGCTCCAGGCACTTAGGGTACATCCATGAATAGGCCTGACAAAGTCCCTCCCCTGCCTTCATTTGGTTTATGCTCTAGTGAGGTGAGGCAGAAAACGAACAAAGAACAAGTGCATTAAAAGGCCCGTAGGTGATGAGTGCTGCATGAGAAAAGAGGCACAGGGTAGTGGAGCTGGAGTGTGCTGGGGGAAGGCGGGGAGCTCTGCAGGTTACTATTTTAAATAGGATTGTCAAAAGCTTCATTGAGAGGTTGACATTTGAGCAAAAATTTGAAGGAGTGAGGGAGCTGGCATATGGATATCTGGAGGAAAGGCATTCCAAGCAGAGAGCCAGCCAGAGCAAAAGCCCTAAGGAACAGGGAGGAGGCCAGTGCAGCTGGAACAGAGGACTCAAGGGGGAGAGTTGCAGGAGATGAAGTCAGAGAGGGAACAGAAACTAGGTTCTGGGGTCACAGGGGTCCTGTAGGACATTGTAATGACCTTAGCTTTTACCCTGAGTGAAATGGGGACATGTGCAGGATCTCGAGCAGATGACTAAAATGCTCTAAGATTTGGTAGGATCAGTTGGCTGCCCTCTTGTGAACAGCTGTAAAGCAGGGACAAGGGTAAAAGCAGAGACCAGCCAGGAGGCTGCTGCAGTGTTCCAGGTGCAGGGACCATGGCATCTGAACCCAGGGGCAGCAATGCAGTGGTGAGGAGTGGTCAGTTCTGGCTATTTTCTAAAAGGAGAGCCAACAGGATTTCCTGAAAGGTGGGCTGTGGGATATGGAAGGGAGAGAGGGAGAAGGAGAGAGGATCCAAGTCAACCCTAAGGAATTGGGCCTGAGCAACCAAAAAGATGGAGATGCTTCCACTGAATGGGGAAGGCTAGCGGGGAGCAGGTGTGTATCAAAGATCAGGAGTTCAGGTTAGATGTGTTGAGCTTAAGATGGCAGATGACGGCTAAGTGGACCACCACCTGTTGGGGTGGCAGCCACTGAAGCCAGCTGCCATATGCTTGCTGATAACTGCCAAGCCAGAAAGGCAGTGCCTGCCTCCATTGCCCAGTCCCCAGAGTGGACAGCCCATGAGGGAGGCTTACTTCCCCACCTCATTTTCTAATCCCTGGGAACACAGCTGTCCAGGCCTCACTCCCTGGCCCACTCTCTATCCCCAAGATAGCTCTGAAGGCTCTCTGGCTGATGGGAAGCATTTCAGAACAAGTCTAATGATGTCTGGGAAATCTCCAAGGATGGGCCAAGTTCTTAACTTGCTCCTTGGATCAAACCCCCATCCAAGGAAGCCTGCTCCAGCCTTCATAACAATAAAAACTTCAGCTTAGCTAACGTTAACTGAGCACCTACTGCATGCCAGGCACTCTGTGGGGCACTTTCACTTGTATCGTCCATTTGATTCTCATCCCAACTATAGATGTTGTTATCCCCTTTTGAAGATGAGACAACTAAGATTCAGAAAGATTCAGACTTGCCCAACGTCACGGAACCAGTAAATATAGAGACTAATATTTGAACCAGCCTTTTGATTCCAACCCTGCTGGTCGCCCCATATCAAATTACTCATGCTTCAAGGTCCAGTTCATGTCATACCTCCTCAGTGGAATCTCTATCCATCCCCCGGTCAAATCTTCCCTGTTGCCGCATGCTGTGTGCACCTCTTCCATGGAACCTCTGACTTTGCTGGAACTGCTGTGACTTCTGTGTTCCTTCCCACTCGGCTACACCTTTCCTGAGAACAGAAGCCACATCTTTTAATCCTTACTCTTATACTCTCTCATGATCTTCCTGCCCCACAAATCAGTGTGTTTAATATGTTTACTAATGCTATGATATTTAACACTTTTTACAGATTCACATAGAACATTATATTTGGGTCTCGGCCAGTTGGGTAAGCATGAACCACATGGGTTCCGTTAGCCTCACTTATGGTTGAGAATATATACACTCAGAGAGATTGGAGGATTTGTCCAAGGCCATACAGCCAGATGGTGTGTTGGGAACATTCTAAGCTTGTAAAACCTAATGCAGTGCCCACTGCATGGCTGGATCAAGTTCTTAATGTACTGCTTTGATACAATCCCTTTCAGTGAAGCCTGCTCTAAGCCTTATGGCAGTAAAAATTTCCGACTCCTCCAATACTAATTGAGCACTTACTGCATGCCAGGTACTCTGTGAGGCACTGGCCTAAAGCCCCATAATGCCTTTTGGCATATCCTGAGCATTGGCTGGATCCTTCAAGGTGTGTCATCTCCTCCCTTTTCTATTTCCTTGGCCTCTCTTCCTTTGTCTCCTCACTACCATATTCCCCTCTTCATCTCCAGCTTTCAGCATAATGTCCTTTTCCTGCCCAGAGCTCCTAACCCTGAGCAAGAGGAGGTAAGCTCTGACCAGAAAGTGGCTCTGGGGAGAGAGGCCCCTGTAACACATCTGGAATGCAGGGTCCGAGTTGAGGCTTCTGGTTTTGTTATAGTTGTTGTTAATTTTTTCCCTAGGATATAGATTCTGAAGAGGCGTCTTGTTTTAACCACCTTGCATTCACCCTGTTGGTGTGGAAGGGGTCCCCACCCTAGGTTAGGGGATGGCAGAACAAATGAGAGCTGGCACTGAACAGATGAGACAGACAGTTTATTAGTCACATACACTCACTGCCTAAGAGAGGAAGATACCATATGCTACACAGGACCACACAGGGGGTATACTAGGGAACAACCAGGGGCTTTGTAGTATCAAGAGGGTGGGGTGCTTCTCAGTTCCCACAGCGGGAGATGATTGGCTTGTTTGAGAAACTCCACAGGCTGGCAGGAAACTGAAAACTGCTACTCAGGGATAAGCAGAAACTGTGCCTGGTCCCTTTGAAAAGGAGAGTTGTTTGACTAGGAGATGTCAGCTGCAGGAGTGGAGTAGGGAGGAGAGCCTGCAGTTAGGTCATTTGAGACCTCCCCAGTTGCACTAGATGTCAAGGAAGCACATAATATTAGGCCTTACCAAGCTATCTTACCTTCACCAAGCTATCTTTATTTTTTTAATAAATTTTTATTTTGGAATTATTTTTGACTTACAAAAAATTACATAGTACAGAAAGTTCATGTATATACTTCACTAATTTCCCCTAATGCTAGCATCTTATATAACCATGGCACCTTTATCACAACTAGAAACTAGCACTGATATAATACTACTATCAAATTACTGGCATTATTTGGATTTCACAAGTTTTCCCACTAATGTTCTTTTTCTCTTCCAGGAGTCACCTAGGGTACCACATTGCATTTAGTCATCTTATCTCCTTAGTTTCTGCTGATCTGGGATGGTCTTTCAGTCTTTGTTTTTTACAGCCTTGATACTTTTGAAGAGTTCCCAATGTAAGTCTGTTAGATGAATTTACATGCTATGGGCTTTAAAGATAATGCCACAGAGGTGTGGTGCTTATCATCATCACAGCAGGGGTGTATAACATCACTAGTGAGGATAATCCCCTCGCTTGTTTAAGATGATGTCTGCCACAGCACTCCACAAAACTACTAATTGTCCTTTTTGATATTTTACTCTTTGAAAATGAATCACTAAGTCCAGCCTACACTCAAGGGAAGAGGACTTAAGCTCTACTTTCTGAAGGAGAAATGGTCTACAGATTTTATTGAAAACTCCTCTGTAAAAAAATAGTTGTCCCTTCCTCTCTATTTATTTATTTATTCAATCATTTATTTAAGCCTGCATGGACTAGTGGATATATGTACATATAACATACATATATATACGTATATATATACACACACACACACACACACACACACACACATATATATATTTGTTGTTGTTAGCTATAATACAAGCCTATCATTATTTATTTTATTGCTTAAATTATTCTAGCCCTGGGTGGGAATGTAAATTAGTAAAACTACTATAGAACACAATATGGAGAGTCCTTAAAGAACTAAAAGTAGAGCTATCATTCAGTTAAACAATCCCACTACTGGATATCTACCCAAAGGAAAGTAAGTCATTATATAAAAAAGACACATGCATGTGCATGTTTAAAGCAGCACAATTCACAACTGCAAAGACGTGGAACCAACCTAAGTACCCATCAACCAATGAATTAATAAAGAAAATGTGGTATGTATATACCATGGAATACTACTCAGCCTTAAAAAGGAATGAAGTCATGCCTTTTGCAGCAACTTGGGTGGAGTTGGAGACCATTATTCTAAGTGAAGAAACTCAGGAATGAAAAACCAAATTTCTTATGTTCTCACTATATAGTCCTTACCCCTCCTTCTCATCTAGCAAAACTCTAGACATCCTGCAAGACCTAGTTCCAGTGTCTCTAACCTTCCTTCTCTTTATACTAAGAGGCAAACCCCTCCTCAGTACTCTCATAGTCCTTTATACATATTTCCAGTATCTTAGTCTAGAATAATGATTCAGTTCTATTTCTACTCCCCAGTAGACTATGAGCTCTTTGCAGGCCAAGATTGTGACTTTTTCATCTCTGCAGTGCCTGAACCTGACAGAATGTCTGACACAGAGTATATTTATATTCAATACTTGCTGAATTAATAAGTACAAGTTTCACATGTGTACCCAATCTTGATTAATTACCTCTACTAAGTGGAAAGGAGCACAGGAAAGGTCCAAGATGGAAAAATGAGATCCAATCCATTTCTTCATTGCCCTCCTCTTCCTTTGATGGCAAAAAGAGGAGAGAAAGAGAGCAAGCAAGATTAGAATGGGGTCAGAGCCTACTGCCCCCACCTATTTAAGAAAGCCTGAAGACATTAACTTCAATAAAATTTCAGAGACTTGAATGCCAGAGCAAGTATCTAAGAGGGTATTTCTAACTTTGAAGCCACGAGAAGGAAAAATATATTTTTAACAAACAAACATGATAAAATCATATCTAGTTAATATGGTAATACATTTTACCTAGGCATTTATGTCTATTAAAATGACTTTATATGATTACCTGCTTTACATTTTAGTATCAAAAGAAGTTATATACATATTTTAAACTGTACCTATGGCTAAGCTTAGTGGCTGAAATGGTATCACCAAAGTAACTGGTCACAGCTGTACTGGTGGCACACTCTCCAGGTTTACACAACTCAGGGGATTCCCCAAGTTTCTTTAAAACTAACTATAAGTCTATTCCTCTCAGAGAGTAATATTTTTCTTAGAAGTTTCATTGCTTTCTTCAAAAGGTGTTTGAGCATGATTATGCGTAAAGCATCGGCCATGGAGGATACAGTATGGTTCTTGTTCATGAGAAGTTAACATTCTAGATATTAGCTTATGCTCTAGGTTCAACAAGGAAAGTGATTACACCTTAAGAAAGAAATGCAGGCTGGTGCAGTGGCTCACACCTGTAATCCCAGCACTTTGGGAGGCCACAGCGGGCGGATCACTTGAGCCCAGGAGTTTGAGACCAGCCTGGGCAACATGGTGAAACCCCATTTCTACTAAAAAATACAAAAAGTTAGTCAGGTGTGGTGGCGCAATCCTGAAATCCCAGCTACTCAGGAGGCTAAGGCAGGAGAATTGCTTGAACTGGGAAGGCAGAGGCTGCAGTGAGCCGGGATTCCTCCAACTGTACTCCAGCCTGGGTGACAGAGTGAGACTCAGTCTCAAAAAAGGAAGACAGAAAGAAAGACAAAAGAAAGAAAGAACAAGAAAAAGAAAAAAGAAAGAAAAAGAGAGAGAAAGAGAAGAGAGAGAGAGAAAGGAAGGAAAAAATAAAGACAATACTTCAAGTATATGAAAAAGGGCTTTGATGTAACTGTTACTTTGATAAATATCAATGTTAGTGAGGTCCGACATTGACTGTCAAAGACCTAACGTCACCAGATACCTGCATTAAGTCCTAGGAAGAACAGGAAGGGGAAGTGAGGGAGAGGAAGGGAAGTGACTTAGGAAATGAGCAATAAAAGAGAGAAAGAGAGAAGAGAGTTTGGACCCAAGATGCCTCTGGCTACAGTTATTTCTTGTATTCCAAACAGCTGGCTGTGTGTTTGCAGTTCTGGATGACTCACCATGTAGGAGGAGCCCCTCGAGGAGAAAGGAGAAAAACCACAGAAGAGGGAAACCCCTTCAGCATCCTTGGGGTGTGGCTGTGGCATTCTGTCTCATGGCCTCACACAGGTCAGCTAACAGCTTGGGCTTCAGTGCTCAGAAGCCATTTTAAGATTTTAAGGATCTTCCAGAAACCCAGGGGCTCACCCAGAAAGGAAAGGAACTTCATTCAGCTTCCTTGTTCATAAACCTAAGAAACCATGGGTAAAGAATCTCTGCAAAGAAAGAAGAGATATATACTTGTCAAAATGGAGATGTTCACTTGAGTCTTCCTCCCAGGAAAAGAAAAGAAAGTCGGGGGAAGATTAGCCTTGAACATGGAATTTCATACATTACAAACGGGGCCGCACTGCAAAACCCATGCAGCCCTGTGATTTAAGCTCCTCCTGCATTCTCAGTGAGTTCCTAGGTCTTATGGACTGAATTGTATCCCCCCACCTAAATTCCTATATTGAATCTTAACCCCCAGTACCTGGGAATGTGACTGTAGAGATAGGGCCTTTAAAGAGCTGATGAAGCGAGGATATTGGGGTGGGCCCTAATCCAATGTGACTGGTGTCCTTATAAAAAGAAGAGATGAGGACACACAAAGAGGCACCAGGAACAAGAGTGCACAGAGAGAGGCCCCATGCAGAGGCAGCAAGAGGGCAGCCATCTGTAAGCCAAGCGGAGATGCCAAAGCAGAAACCAACCCAGCCTCCAGAACTGTGAGGAGATCGATTTCTTTTGTTTAAGCTGCCCATTGTGACACTATTATGGCAACCTTAGTGGACAAAACATTGGGGAAAGAGCTTCTATACAATTTGAATGTGGTGTCCCAGCAGGGCCTCAACCACAACACATGCCAGCTAAATCACTGCAGTTTCATTCCTATATCACAACCCAACTTTGGACCATCATTACAAGACACTAATTGAGTTTTCCCACCTGCCAAACACTATATTAGGCTGCTTTCTCACATATTACCTCATTTAATTTCTAATGCAAACCTGAGGTTCAAAAGAGGTTAACTAGTTTCCCCAAGTGTATTAGTCCATTCTCACACTGCTATAAAGAACTATCTGAGATTGGGTAATTTATAAAGAAAAGAGGTTTAATTGATTCACAGTTCTGTAGGCTGTACAGGAAGTGTGGCTGGGAGGCCTCAGGAAACTTAACAATCACAGCAGTAGGCGAATGAGAAGCAAGCACGTCTTACCTTGGCAGAGCAGGAGCGAGAGAAAAAGGGGGAGGTGCTACACACTTTCAAACAACCAGAGCTTGTGAGAACTCTATCACAAGACAGTACTAGGGGGATGGTGCTAAACCATTAGAAATCTCCCCCGCCATGATCCAATCACCTCCCACCAGGCCCCATCTCTAACACGGGGGTTCACAATTCAGCGTGAGATTTGTATGGGGACAAAGATTCAAACCATATATCCAAGGTCATCGAGGTAGGGCATGCAGGACCTGGGGTAGAAGCCCAGGCCCTCTGGTTCCAGGTCTGTGGTTCTTCCACTGCCCCAGGCCAGAGGTCTCCATGGGAGTTGTTAAAGACCAGAGATGTTAAGGACCACATGCCACTCTCACTTTCGAAAGTCAGCTCAGTCCTTCCAGCAACATAGTCACTGGGGTTTGTAAGTCCTGTGACACAAAGAGGAAAAATATGTGTTCAGTCCTAATTCTATCTTTACTGGACCATTCAAGCCCAATTCTTAACTGACCACATACACTATTTAGTAGCTAGTTATGAGGCTTATACAACTCCAAAGATATTATTAAGGAATCACGTAAGAAAGTATTATTGCTTTCTGGATAATAGGCCACTTTGCTCAGCTCAGTTTGCTGAGGACAGCTCTATCTGGAGCTCCTTGTCAATATCTATTTTTAATGGGATATATTTATAATTGGATGTATTTATAACCTGCTTTTCATGGGCACTTGTTTTCTTTCCAGAATCACACAGGCATTTTAATAGATTGGCTATGGCAGTAGAGAAGTGACTAGAAACAGTTTGGGCCTCATTGTCTGTGAAACCTGAGAATCCTCACTCCTCCGATGCTGGTGCCTGCGACACTTTGGGAAGACAGCAGCTTCACCACTGCACACTGGTTCTCATTTCTATAAAAGACATACATCCCTCCTGGAAGGGATGGAGGACATCGGGGAAATTAAAAGGTTTAGTACATACTGAGAGAAAACTTCAGTGGAAATTCCTATGATTTAATTCAGTTTGGCAAACATTTATTGTCCAACTATTACATGCTAAGCACAGATTCATTGACTGAGGTATGTTAATTTTAGCAAAATTATTGAACACAAGCATCAGAGCTGGAAGAAATGTTAAGAGATCATGTAGTCTGATACTTACTCTCACTTTAGTGATGAAGAGCATGAAGTCCAGACAGGGTAAGTGGCTTGTCCAAGGTCAAACCACTAGTTCCTGGCAGTCAAGGAGCTAGAATCTTTCTGAATCCTAGCCCAGTGGTTCCAATACACTCTGCAGCAGTCAGACCCTTATCAGAGTATCATGTCCAACTTAGTTCGTCACATTGTGAAAACCATGTACACATCTGGAAAAGATCCAAAAATAAATAAATAAATAACCAAAATTGCCACAGGATGGAAAATAGAATTTTTAATTAAGTAACAAACATTCCAGCTGGATATGAGGAAGCACTATCTGGCTACCAGGGTTATGAAATATCAAAATGAGCAAATCCAAGGAAAGCACACCCAGAAATTTTCAAAAGGACAAGAGATAAGCATCTTTTTTTGATTATTGGGGGGTCACCTGCCCCCAAACAGGGCACTGGAACAAATAAACTCTCAATTTTACCCAGCTCTATTGGAATTCATCTAGGATTCTATATGCCTTTTATAAGGCTTTAGCCAAAAAAACTGCTGTTACTGCATCATTGATCTTATTTGTTGAAATTTCCTCTTAAAACCATTTCTTTGCCCTCTTGTTTTTTTGTTTGTTTGTTTGTTTTTGTTGTTGGTGGTGGGTTTTTTGTTTTTTGCTTTGTTTCTTTTCTTTTTTTAATTTCAAAAAGCCTTTGCAATGAGCTGGAACAGAATCCGGGATGTCTGAAGTTTAAGATTTGGGGATTTTTAAAAAATTGCCAGAGGTGACATGCTGAGAGAATAGAGTCCTGACAGTAACCACAGGTCTAGGCCAGCAAAAGGTCAAGTCCAGAGTGAAGCTGGCTGACAGATACCATAGATCTGGGCAGGCAGGGGCCTGGAGATCAAAGCAGCATTATCAGGCACAGCAGAACTCTGACCTTAGAGCAGAATGGCCATTTGCTTTCAATACTTTTTACATAATCTCCTAAATATAGGTTGCTTGAAGTTTAAGAGACACGTCAGAGGCAGAATGGTGTCAGAGGCTAGACAGCCGTAGGGTCAGAGATGCTAGGACTACCTCGCAAGAGGTCATCCCTGTTCATCTCGCCTCACCTGCATGGCCACATTAACACCCCCAAAGTGTCCTGGGTACATCCAGAAAGAAAGTTTGGAGCACTTAAGGGGCATCCAGCACAATAATGAGATAGCCTTCAACATATCGGAAATGAGATCATGCTAAACCTCAGGTTATAAAGGGATCTGTCTCTATTTCTTTCTAATGTCATTGAAGAGATCTCTTTAAAAGGCAACTCTGCAATGTCCCTGAATAAATGCCAAAGCCACCTCCATTACTCACTCAGACCCTCTTACAGTCCCTCTTCCCTACTTTTTCTGGGACCCATCTCAGTCTCTGTGTCTCACTGAGGTTGAACAACAAGAAAATACATATTACTAGATAATCGACGGTCTCCCAAGATGTTGTTTCTCCCTCACAAAAACTAGAATAGGACAACTAGCCTGCCCCTTGAACCTATTGCTCTGCTGAGAATGAATCTCCATAGCTGTCAAATGTCAGAGTGACAGACCCTCACATCTCTGCTAAAGGTCACTTGCTAAAAGTCAAGGCTGAAAGGATGTACATCATGACAGAGACAAAGAGGAGCATATTAACCTCTTAGGCTTCCATATGTTCTTGGACACTTGCCTCCTTCTGGGCTTTGGTTTAGCTTTTTGTTTTCGAAGATTTTTGCAAAAGTACCGGATGTTAGAAAAGCAAATCAAACCTAACAAAAAACCCAGATGCTAAATCCATTTGTTTCAAGGCTCTCCCAAAAGCTGTTGGGGAATTCACATGAAAACAGGTTCCTGTTCCAAGGAGTTGTGAGGTTTAATTCATTTCATGCGATTCAAGGCTCATCCTGAAACCCCACATCCTGTTGATGTCACCTACTTTTGAGCCAGAAGAGAGAAGATAGTTTAGACTTGATGAATTCTCCTTCCCTCACAGCCTGTGCTGTGTTGAGCTTCTGCTTATGTTCACACCAGAAAAATGTTAAGAAAAAAAGCTACTGATTTTTCCTCATTCCTCCCCCACTGTATCCCAGTAAGAGTTCTATCTGAAGAATGTGTGTGCAAGCATGCATATGTATGTGTACACACACACACACTCATATGCACAAATCACAAGTATTTGGCAGATACTCAAATCCTTCTCTTTAAAAGCACTAAGCCACTAGTGAAGCAGTGTGCCAGGTTTCTGGAGAAGAAACAGAATGCAAGCGTGCTAGGCCAGCAATGGAGAGGCAGCACTCCAGAAGGCTGAGTCCACAACCGCCAGGTAAACCATGTTCCTGTTCACCTTTATGTGCTTTCCTGTATCTCTATGAAACCAGTCTCCTTGAGGGCAGGGATTCTCTCTTTATTTTGAGATTCCCAACACCTGGCCCTGTGTCTATATATGATAGTCACCCAACAAATGAATTTTTGAATGAATGGAGACCATCCCTAGCTATTTACCAACAATACCATTTAATCACATTTTATAGACAAAACTTCAAGGTGTTCAGGTCCATGTATAAAAATTAAAATTTATTCTTGTGTTTAATTCTGGAGAGCATCCCTAGCTACTTTCCTAAATATCTTTAGGAATATCTTTACCTCCACGGTGCCCAAGTCATGCCTTTGTGTCTAGGAAAATGAATATAGAAATTTCCAAAATAACATTAGGATGCTGTGTGGCTAGTTAGTATCAAAGCCAAATTCTTATCTAGTGCTGTTATGCCATATCTCAAGTTTGAGTGTGCCACCTCTTTCCTGCAGGGACCTAGACTCCTACATCTACCCTGGGTTCCTTCTATCTGACCCAAAGTAAACAAACAAAAAAGTTTCCAGGAAATATTTTCAATCATATCTGCCTTGCATATAGTAAGTGTTCAATAAATATTAGATTAAATCATAAAATCATATTGTCAATAACCTCTATCACTTCCAACTATAGGTAAATAAATTATTTTCTCTCAATTTTAAAAGTTTGGGTTACAACATGAGACATGTTAAGAAATAAGAATCTTATTTTAAGTTGACAAGTTATTTCTTATTAGAGCCATGATTCTCAACATTAGCTGCATGATAAAAAGTATTAGGCCTGAGGTACTTTTATAGTAGTAATCCCTCAGCCCATCCCCCCAAATTCTGATTTAATTAGACTGAAGTGGATTGAGGCACTGGCAGTTTTTTTATAGCTCCCCAGGTGATTCTAAAGGGCATCAAGGGTTGCAAATCACTGTTCTTGGCAGAACCCAACTTCTCCTTCTCAGGGGTGATAAATCTCTGCCCTAGCCATAATGAGGTTGCAAGGTGAAGAGAAGAGTGTATGGATTATTGGAAGAAAATATGCCCAAAGAAGTATTTTTAAAATATTTCTCTCTTAAACATAAATTTTTTGAATACTTAAAATGAAATAAAAATGCTAGAGCAATATGGTCACAGCATAAAGTTCCAAGCTCAGGGCCCTGTTTTACAGTCAGGTGCAATGGTTCTCAACTAAACTGCCTGTGACACTCAGCTGAGGAACATCTGAAAATATTAGTGCTCTTGGCCCACTCCAGACCCAATTCTATCAGAATCTCTGGGGCGGGGCCAGGGCATATACACACACACACACACACACACACACACACACACACACACACATATATTAATTCCCCAGGTGAATCTAATAGGTCAGGGTTGGGGACCATTGGTCAGGATAAAGCAATTTTTCTAAATATCTTGAAATTTAGATCATAGATTGTTCCATGTTTTTACACAAAAAGAAATTTTAATTTTCATACCTGGACCTGAACACCTTGAAGTTTTGTCTATAAAATGTGATTAAATGATATTGTTGGTAAGCCTAGCTATGAATTTTAGTTGGAATGTGGCAAACAAGGTGAGCTGGACAAAAAATGGTAAATTTCCATGAATGGTTGCTGATGTGCAATGTAGACATTTACTTGATAACCCGGTATCTTGTAGGGTAATGCTGGCACATGTCTGGATGTGCCCTTCACCCAAAACATGAAGTGAGTTCTGTAAAAAAATGTTTCTCTGGTAGAAATGTATCACCAGCTAAACATATATAGGAAGGGCCAGGTGCGGTGGCTCATGCCTGTAATACCAGCACTTTGGGAGGCCAAGGTGGGTGGATCACTTGAGGTCAGGAGTTCAAGACCAGCCTGGTCAATATGGTAAAAATTACTATTTTGTATTTTTAGTCTCTACTAAAAATACAGAAATTAGCTGGGCATGGTGGTGCACGTCTGTAATCCCAGCTACTCGAGGCTGAGGCAGGAGAAAAGCACAGTTTGCATTGAGCTGAGATTGCGCCATTGCACTCCAGCCTGAGTGACAGAGCAAGACTCTGTCTAAAAAAAAAAAAAAGGATTTCTAGAGACTATTTCCCATCTTCCCATTAACCAAGTGAATCAAAGTAGCACGTTAGGTTTCCGGAGAAGAAACAGAGTGCAAGCATGCTAGGCCAACGATGGCGACGCAGCAAAGGAGCCAGTGTTTGACTCAGAGGCCCAAGCACAATAAGCATGTAGATTGGTCTGAAGATCATGCAGAAAACATCAGTGGATTGGCCACTGAATCACTATTTTCCTTAAAATGAAATCCATTTCTTAAAAGTACTTTGTAAACTAACATTTTCAAGTATGCTTTTAATTTATGGCAAAACTACAATAAAGGGAAGCAGCTTGGTGTGACATAAGACCACTAACTAAGAGTCAGGTTTTGACACTAGCTACATGACTCAGGCAACATATTTTATCTTAGTATCTGGGTTTCTATGTCTTCATATGTAAAATGAGTCTAGTTTGATTCTTCTCAACCCTGTCTGATCAGCAGAATGCATAGGGAGGTGTTAAAACCTACCACTTTCTGCGTGTCTCTCCCAGACACTCTGATTTAATTGGTCTGGAATGGGGCCCAGGCATCAGTATTTCTCAAATATTTCCAAGTGAAGTCAATGTGGGCACAAGCTGAGAAGCACTGCACTGGATGAGCTCAATGTTCCTTTCAGCTCTCATCTTCCTTTGGGCTTAGGAGTCTTAGCTTTGGGGGCTGCCTGAGCCATTAGAAGAGTTAGTAACCAATCACGATATATCCCACAACACTCAAGGCTAGTATTTTGCCTCTTAAGGGGGTCACCATTTCTTTTATCTAACAATCAAGCTAAAAAATCTAAAAGTTTTAAAAATAGGTTCTAAATATGCTGTGCCTCTGACAGTTTGTGCTGTCCTGAGAAGATATTCAATAGCCCTTCCCATAGTGTCACCAAAAGCTTTCTTGATTCCACTTCACCCCTTCCCAATGTCCTTCAGGCATTTAGGCCTTGGACCCGCATTTGTTTTCACATTTGGACTTGAAGAGCTGATTCCTATTTCAGTTTGGATTTGCTGCCAGGTCTCCCAGCCCAAGTTCAGTTTCCCATGGGCTGGCTGAACCACCAGTGTAAAACAGCAAGATAACATCCCAAAGCTGGAGCTCCTCCAGCCATGTTATGCACGGAGAACCAAGTCCATGCTGGCCTCACAGGGTCGCTGTTCTCATAGCCAGGGAGCCATCTTGGAAGCACGATGGATGGCTCCGGCATTTCACTTCAACACCATCCAGTCTCTCATTCAAGCTGTTGAGAGCAAACCAGAGAGAGAGAGAGAGAGAGAGAGAAAGTCCAAAGAAGCACTAATTCAAGCCCAGTTTAAAAAATCAGTGGTTAAATAAAAGTTATGAACCAGACTGAAATTCTGGACTCTGATAAACTACAAAATTAAAACCAGAAGAAAGGTCAGTAAGCTTCCGAGTTGATTGACTGAACTGTCCAGTTAATTGCTTCCACCCACACTTCCTCTTGGCTATGGAGACAGATTCTCAATATTAAAACTTAGAAACAATTGCTGTTCCACCTGAAGGATAAAATGACAATGTAAAACTATACCTGGCAAAAAAGTCTGATCTTTGGCTCAAGGGATTAGATTGGTTTTAGTCAGGTAAATTTTATAGCCTAGAGAACTATTTTCAAATTGCTGCAATCTTTGTGAAACCAAGATTTTCTCAGTGTATGAAAGAGTTAGCAGGGCCACCCAGGTCTTTATATGGAGTCAGCCTGCAGTTTCTGGTTACCCACATAATCCTCATTTTCAAGATTAAAAATCATAGTAATAAGAATGTTTCTTGAGTTTTGTCATTATTCATCATTAAATTGGTCTAGATCCTTCATGCCAGAAGTAGAAACAAGATAAGACAGAAAGAGAGTGCTTAGGAAAAGGTCAGGGACAGATTTAAACATGGCCCACTAAGCAGGTCAGCCAGTTACCCTGCTCTTAGGCTACTATGCCAGCTATCACCCACTACATCCTTACCCTGGTCCCACTCATCACCATGCCCACAGAAAACGTCCAGAGGAAATCTCCAACCCCACAGAATAGTGAACGAGTACCCAGTTACCTTTAGGATTAACCTACCCTGGTAACACAGAATGTAGAATCCCCCTAGAAATACGGAGGCCAAGAATGAGTACCAGATCTCATTTGGAGAACACAGGCTGACGGTTTCCAAACTATTCGAGTACTGGTTGCCCACAGACGTTGTGCTATCTGCACCATAAGGCTGTGTAGCTCACTGGTGAATAACACAGGACTTGTAAGACTCATCTTGGTTCCATTCCCAAGTTCTACATTTACTTGCAGGGAGATCTTGGACAAGTTACACAAATTATTGAGCCTCAATTTCTTCCTCTGAAAATGGAATATGGGGATGGAGGCAATGCACAGCTGAAAAATAAGAGGGTCTAAATAAATTATAGTTATCTTTACTATCCTTCATAATTACCCAGAAAGATGAAACTATAACTGAATCCATATGGTAAGGACTCTTAGAGCTGTATTTTGTGGATTGGCTTAAGTTTTCAGTGAGTGCTTTTGACACTTCAAATTGTACACCAAAGCAGGGCATGTGGTACAAAGCACTGACATTGGCTAAGGCTAACATGGATATTTCCTGGAAAATGAGTAGGAGGCATAGCTGTCAATGGCTCTTAAGCCTGATTCAAACTAACCAAGCCAAGGTCAAGATGGCTCCATTAAACACCTTCACTAAGGATGTTTTCCAAGGAAAACAGTTTTATAACTTTCAGATACAAGCTAAAAGTGACACTGGGTTAAGGAAATGTCTTAAACAAGTTTTTCTTTATTTGGAGGTTGCTTTAGCAGTTAGCTTGAATTTGTGATTGGCATATTGGCTCTTTGTATATGAGCAAGAGCCTCCAACATGTTAGAATGGATTAAGAAAGGTTATACTCAAGTATTTTAAAGCTTTTTTAAAACATTCTATTGGTGATATGTCTAAGCCTCATAAGCTTTTGCTCTCTAGGCAGAACAAAGATGAACTCCAGTTTCTCACCAAATTAGCACTTATCTTCATTATAAAATGGGGGTAGTAGTGTCACTTTCCTTAAAGGACTGAGTTGAGGCTTGTAAAGCATTTAGCAAAGCATTCAGCACAGCATAAATGCTCCCAGTCAAGGTTAACTGTTGTCGTTGTGGTTGTAGCTTTGTTGCTGCTGTTATTCCATTATTCAACAGACCTGTACTAGACACAGTGAATTCTAAGAAGAATACACCAGAGATCGAGTGCCTCAAGATACTCAAAGCCTCCAGGGAGGGACGGATGTGCAAATGTGTTCTCATACTAAGTAGGAACTTCTTTGAGGTATGAACAGAGCACTCTAGGTACCCAGAGGGGAGCCAAGGATTACCTTCACAGAGGAGATCATCTTTTATATGGGTTTTAAGGAACATGCAGGAATTTGCCTAGCAAGGGAAAGGGTTTGCAAGGCAGAGAATATAGCATATACAGAAGCTTGAGTTAATGAAAGTCATAGTCAGTGAGCTTTGAGGAACAGTGGTGAGTCCTGGGTTACTGAAGCAGAGGTCACCCGAGGAATGCCAGAAGTGCTGGAGAGTTGCTGGGGGCCAGAGTGTGAAAGATCTTACAGAGTAAGACAAGGATTTGGCACTGATCCCACTAGCCACAGGCGTCAACAGATTTCACGGGGAAATAATGAGATTTGATTTATATTTTATGAAGATAAGTTTGGTGCCAACAGGGAAAGACAAAAACTGGAGTTTAAAAACACAGGAGGTAAGGCAGTGGAACAGCTTGGTGGGGAGTAATAGCCCCACTCACTTCACTGAACCCTCTATGCAGTGGCTGTGCTCAGAGTTGATCTGCTGCCACCGGGGCCTCGTGGCCCCCTGCAGTCCATCTGAAGAGGAGAAGGCCTAGGGGATGAGAAACAGGACTTCAGTTGGCAGCTCAATGCAGACAGTATGCTGAAGAGAGCTGCAGGGTTTTAGAACAATGCCAGAAGTTAGTTGTTCTTTTCACCAGTAAGAAAAAGCCTTCCTCTATTTTCAAAATCCCCTTAAAGTGGACATTTTGATGGATAAGGACTGAAGATGGTACATGAGGATTCCTAGGTTATGTCCCCAACCTTCCATTCAAGTCCCTCACCTTAATTCATATATTTTGTTTTATCTTTGAAATATGCTTGGGGAATTATGTTTGGAAGATGAACTTCAGAAGAGGAGATCTATTAAGCATAAAAAAACCAGGATGACCAACTATCCTGGTTTATCCAAGACTGTTCTTGTTTTATCACTGAAAGTCCACCATCCCAGAAAACTGCCCCCACTGCCCTCCATCTTAGGCAAACCAGGATGGCTAGTCATCTAAAAGAGCTATTATAAACACTGTACTATGATCAAAGACTGTGATTTGGCATTTATGAAATTCATAACTTATAGATATGACTTTTACTTGGGGGAAAACTAGGGGATGATTTTTTTTCTCTATGTAAATTTAGGGTGCCATACATAAGAACTTTCTTCCTCTAATAAAGTCAACATGTTACTTATAAAAGATAGGAGACAGGAAACTAATAATAACAATAATAGTGACCGCTAACATATTGCTCATGAACTATATTCCAGGCAGTATTCTAAGTGCTTTACATAAATAAGTCATTTGACTCTCACAACGGCCTTATCATATTCATCCCCATTTTACAGATGAGCAAATGGAGGCACAGTGATCACATACATAATAAATGTATATGGTGGAATTTGGATTTGAACTCAGGCTGCCTAGGTCCAAAGTCCATGCTCTCAAATATTTCCTACATATAATGTACAAATAACTCATTTATTAAGCCTCTACTATGTACCAATCATTGTACTGAGTGTGCATTCCATAAAATACCTCCTTTAACCCTCACAATAGTCTGTCTGGTACCAGATAGGTCATTCATTCATTTATTATTTGTTAAGCTTATTCCTGTTTAAGAATTATAATATTGTATTTTTGTAGGTGAAGAAGGATGGGGGTTTGCACCAAAGCAGTACCAGTGAAAATGGATAGGAGAGGTAAGAGTCAAGAAAAACTTCTGAAGTAAAAACATAAGAATATGATGATTAGTCGAACACAAGGAATGAGGAAAAATAAATTGTTTAGGATGACCCTGGGATTTTGACCTGAGGGACTGGATGGGTGGTAGTCTACCAATCAAAATCAAAGCTACAAGATCTACCTTGATAGGTGCTATAGACTGAATGTTTGTGTCCCACTAAAACTCATATGATGAAATCCTAATCCCCAATGTGATGGTATTAGGAGGTGGGGCCATTGAAAGGTAATTAGGTCATGGGGCAGAGCTTTCATGAATGGAATTAGTGCCCTTATTTAAAACACACACACACACACACACACACACCTGGGAAAGCATCTTTGCCTATTCTGCCATGTGAGGACACAGAGAGAAGACACTCATTTATAAACCAGGAAGCAAGTCTCACAATATACCAAATTTTCCAGCACTTTGATCTAAGACTTTCCAGCCTCCAGAAATGTGAGAAATAAATTTTTATTGCTTATAAGCTACCCAGTCTATGATAATTTGTCATAGATGCTCAAAGGGACTAAGACAAGAGAGAAGATAACGAGTTCCTATTGAAATATATTAAGTTTCAGCTACTAAAGAGCGTACTAGTCGAAATGACCACAAAGCCTAGAAACTTATGTCTGGAGTTCAGTAGCAATGGTTGGAAGTCAGTATCCTAGACTTGGTGATTAGGGTCACAGGTGTAAGGAAGATTATCCAGAGAAGATGACAAATGATAGAGCCCTACAGAATGTCAACATTTTAGGGAGGGCAGAGGAGAGTTTGCCAAGGAGCCTGGAAAGACCTGAGAAGAAGAGGGAAGAGAATCAGAAAACAAGTGGTTGCCCAGAAACCAATGGAGGAGCAGGTAATGGTCAGCAGGGCCAGTGCTGTAGAGAGGATAAACAGGAAGAGGGCTGAAAACAGAGCACTAGGACCAGGGTCTGATTTAGGATGGAGGACACCAGATCCGAACATGACCAGACAGCAGCAAGTCATCCCACTTCTGACCTTAGTCCCCTGACATTCCCTCAGCCAGGAATAAAATCAACCCCAGTGCTGAGGGCAAGGCTAAGTGTGCCCCCTGGGGAGTTGGGGACTCTAGCTTCTGAGTCTGAAAGTTAAAGGAACAGGGTGGGGGACCAGGCAGAGAGGCCACTACTATTTACACATTCATTTCCAGACACTCCTTCAGGCTATAAGACCAGCTCTAAAAAGCCACAGAAACAAAACACAAAGCAAAAGCAAACAATTTATAAACAAAACAACGAAAACAAAAATAAAAATAAAACCACACGCATATACTCCCTTTTATGGCAGAAAAGAAAAAAAGAAAAACTAATTCTACCTAATGAAATTTTCCGGACAGGTTTATGGCTGCCTGGCCTCCAACCCCAGGCTGGAGAATAACTGAGTTTTATTAAACATCAGCAAAATATGAATGAAGAGAGGGACAAGCTTTCCAAGGGTCTCATTTCATTTCCACGCCCAAATAGCTCACAGTTGACCTTGAAGCTATGGAACATAATTTTTCCTTCAAGATGATAGAGAAAAGACAAAGTTGTGACAGGGTTCTGAATGGTAACCATCACATTCATGTGAAGCAGCTCTGTTTTTATTCCCCCTCGGGAGAAGACATAGAAAGTTAGGAGCTGAGCTAAGGAAAGATAGTGAATGCAAATCTGACTTCATTCAACTCTAGGCAATTCAGCTTGAGAAAAAAACATGTTATTTGAAGTCAGATGTTTGACCTGCTTGTGTGAGTTGCCCATTATTTATCTTCACTTAAGTGGTATTGCCTGGGTCCATTCTTATGCTCTGAAACCAAGCTCCCTATCCAAGTCTGTGTGATCATCCAGGCATTACGAGGTCTCCATTCTAGTCCACCACACTTCATTTTTTAAGAAGCAGGAGGACTGAGCAGAGCATTTCTGTGGGGAGAGATCTACCCAGGCTGTTTCCAAACTGCTTCCTTCAGGCTGATAAGCCCCCATCATAAATTACACCACAACTGGAGCTTGTCTCTTGCCATCAACTTGCCTTTCTCTTGGAAAGATACCAGCTCTGTCCCCTGAAATAAATCCTTTATTTTCAGAGTCCTAGAGGATTCCAAGGAGCAGGAAAAGGAGCAAGAGAAGCCCCTCCCTCCCAGGGCAGATCATCCCATGCTGCTGTTTCCAAGCCTCAAGCTAACATCTCATTCTGGCTGCGCTCCCTTCTGGATCTCAGCAGCAATTCTACCACAGGGTGATGTGGTATTTCCAGTCTTCCACTTCACCATCCCCCACATCCTCTTTCCAGCTGTTGTCAAAGCAACAGACAAATTCACTGGGAGATTCAATGAGGAGAGATGGTCAGGTGGGAGGGGTGGGATAGGAGGAAAACATACTGAGATAAGAAAAGCACTTGGTCCTCAGAGAACACATTCCTGGAATGCTGCGCTGCATCTCCACGGCACATGCTTTCATACTGGCTGCTGGATCTAAGCCTGAGCTTTAGAATTCATTTTCTTTGGCCTCAAAAGATTCTCAGACCTGCAACAGGATAAAGAGAGAGAGATGCAAGGCTCTTGGGTTGGTCTTCAGGACACCAGTTTGCACACTGTAGCCTAGAGGCCTGCACAGGTTCAAAGATACACATTGGCTAGAAAGACCCTGACCCAGCCTGCTCTAGTTCTAGCCTATCCTTCTAGGCAATGACCCTGCTAAAAGCAGGGTAAGTGGCTGCCTGAACCCTGAGGCTGCTAAGTCCTAGGGTGGAACCTGTGAGCTCCTGAGCTTAAATCCCAGCCGCTTTCAATTCCAAACATTTTTCCCTAGCGAAATCACTTTTTCTGGTCATCTCATCAACTACTTGTGCATTACTTAATGGATCAGCCATAAGGATGAGTCAGTTTGGCTGCTGGGGCTGCCAAAAGTAAAACCCCAATTGATTTGGTGGGTTTCTTAAAAATCTTATTGAAAACAATTTAATTCAGTCAAGCTGTATTTCTTCCTGGGACAGTTTCAAACCTTGGAAGAAGAGGAATCACCATGTCACCTATCTCGACTGGAAAGTGGGTTCTGAGGCTGTGCTGATGCATGTGTCTGTAGCAACTCTGGGAAAAACTATTTTCCATTTTAAATGGAAAACTTTTAAACTTTTCCATTTAAAAGTTGCAACAGTGACCTCCACACTATGGGAGAGGTTATAACATCACATAGCCATTTGGTTCTGTATGGACTCTTTCCCCAAACATGCAATTTAAAGTTGACTGTATGGGTGCTTGGGCATGCTGTGGGGTCTGGTCGGGGGTGGGTGCCCAACCTGGCCTGACCCCACATACTCCCCACCCTCTGCACTCTGATGCTGCCTGTGTGCCAAGCCCATCCCAGCCAGGATGATGGTGAAGTACTTCCTGGGCTGGAGCGTGCTCCGGAGGTCCTGGGACCAAGTGTTTGCTGCCTAATGACAGCGGTACCCAAATCCCTACAGCAAACATATTACACGGGGCGGAGACCCCTGAGCTCCAGTCCTGGCGGCCTGACCAAGACCAGCAGACGCCCCGCTGGGCTGAGCCACTGTTTCCCCAGTGCCACTCGCTCAGTGTCCATCCTGAAACACTCTACTGTGAAGCCACCGAATCAGACATGACCACTTCACTTGGAACATCAACCACATCTGGCTGTGGTAGTGGAGGAACCACGTGCTTACTCTGGGAACTCTGGCAGCAGCACCTGGACGCCAATCCACTGGAAAGCCTGGGTAACCTATAGCTTATTTAAGCATCTCCAGAGCTGTCCAGGAATTTGGTCTCGCCCAATTCAAAACCAATGTGATCAAGACGATAAAGGGTTTATATCTTGGCCAAGCTGCACAGTGTGGCCCCTTCCAAAACACTTGTCAAGACAGCTAAGGGAGCCAAGGAGAAGGCAAAGGAGACAGCACTGGACGCTACAGAGAAGGCCAAGGACCCAGCCAGCCAGGCAGCACCCAAACGGCAGCCACAGTTAGTGTAGCTAGCCCACCACGCCACAGCACCCCAGACAGCTCAGCTCAACTTCCTCTGCCCTCTCCTCTTTGTATAGTTATTATTCAAAATCAACTTCCAGCCCCCCTTTTAATTTTTTAAATAAAAAAATTTTAAAATATTTAAAGTTAATTGTAAATGAATTTTATTTTGAGATGTCTGTGTGAATTTCCTTATAACCTGCATTCTCTTAGACACTTACGGTTTCTCCCAGAAAAATCCGGCAAGGAATCAACCTTCTGCCCCTTAGGTCAGGAAATGGTCTTACCAATGCTAAGGAGAGCAAAGTTCTTTAAAATTTAGAGCTCCTTCTAGGGCAACATATCTGTTGCTCCCTTGAAGCAACAGGTAAGGCTTTGAGCATAGCCTCAGTTTTGACCCTATCCCAGCAACTCCAGCCTGTAGCTGCTCCTCAGAGAAGGCTACACTAGAAAGGTTCATTGGGTTCTCATGAAAAGAGGGCAGCTAGGAAAAGATATTCCCCCCATTCTTCCATGACACCATGTCTTCCAATAATAATGGCTAATATTTATTGAGTTTTTACTATGTCCTAAGCACTATTCTACGTGTACTCCCAAATCTAATACTTATAACAACTTTCTGAAGGTGGTACTATCATTATCTCCACTTGACAGTTGGAGAAACTGAGACACAGAGAGATCAAGCAACTCACCTAGAGTCATACAAGGAATAAGTAACAGTGCCAGGATTCTAGCAAGGGAAGTCTGGCTACAGGGTTCATCTCTTAACTGCTATATCCCAGCAGCACTTGAACCTGAGTATGAAGAAGCATCTGGAAGGCTTGGTAAAACACAGATTGCTGGGCCTTGCTCCCAGAGTTTCTGATTCAGTAGTCCTGGATGGGTCCTGAGGATTTACTTTTCTAGCATTTTCCAGGGTGATGCTGATGATACTGGACTACACATTTGAGAATCACTGTCTGTGCTATTCTGCCTCTGGAGAAAATTCTCGATAGAACCCTTTCTTCCCCACACACTTCTCCACTGCAGATACAAAGCTCAATAAAAGAGGAGTTATACTGAGTAATCTCACAAGATCAATCAACTAGCCAGTCTTTCAGGAGGCCTCAACTATTTCTCAGGCATCACTGTGCCAAGACCCACAGGGCTTCCGTGAACAGAATCCCAGCCTTCTGGGTGGAGCCTCTCTGGGCCATTCTCTGGAAATATAGTCTGTGGGAAATTAGGGTCCAGGCCGGGTACCTCTTCATTTTTCTATCTAGATTCACTCCTTTGCTGATAGCACATTGTTTCTAAGCAAATAAGGGTTATTAAGCAACAGCAAGACCAAGGTAGGAGGATTGCTAGAGGCCAGGATTTCAAGAGCAGCATGGGCAACCTGGCAACAAATTCCCAACTCTACAAAAAAAATCAAAACATTAGCCAAGTGTGATGGCACACACCTGTGGTCCCAACTACTCAGGAGCCTGAGGCGGGAGGAACACTTGAGCCCAGGAGATCAAGGCTGCAGTGAGCCAACACCAGCCACTGCACTCCAATCCAGGCAAGAGAGGGAGACTCTGTCTCTAAAAAAAACCAAGAAGATGCAAGAGTAAATCTCGTTTGCTAAAACTTTCTTTATAGATGTTTTTAAAGTTATTATATTTCCCCAGTTTAATTAATTAATTTTTTGAGATGGAGTTTCACTCTTGTGGCCCAGGCAAGATCTCGGCTCACTGCAACCTGTGCCTCCCGGGTTCAAGCAATTCTCCTGTCTTAGCCTCCCGAGTAGCGGGAATTACAGGTGCCCGCCACCACGCCTGGCTAATTTTCGTATTTTTAGTAGAGATGAGGTTTCACCATGTTGACCAGGCTGGTATTGAATTCCTGACCTCAGGTGATCCACCTGCCTCAGCCTCCCAAAGTGCTGGGATTACAGGTATGAGCCACTATGCCTGGCCTCCCCAGATTACTTTATAAGCTCGTTCATTTATTCATTCACTACAGAGTCACTTCAGAAATATGTAGAACAACAAAATACACACATGTGGGTGGGGAAATCATAGTACAGATAAAATACAAACTGAGCAATTCTGTAACATAAAGCCAGGATAAGGTTATTACACAAAGATGCAAACCATACGTGAAACTCAAATAAGGAAACACAACAGGTGCTAAGATTTACAGTTTCTCAGAAGCTCTTTGACACACTGAGATCTAAAAAATATTTCTATCATTAAAAGGCACACTACATGATGTGGTCAGCAATGTTCTCCACAGCATCCCCAAGTTAAACACAAAAATGCTTCACACTACATTTATTAGAGTGGCCCTCAAAGCACACTCTAGGCTATAATATTCTGCAAAATATAGACCCTTCAGGGACCTACATGTCAAGGCAAATGCCTTACCTACAGTAGGTTGCAATAAATATTTGAGAAGTAAAAACGCTTCCAGCAGTTTGACTCTTCACTATTCATACTTCAAAGTATATGGATGAAGCACTACAACTGCCCTTCTGTCCAGATGCCCTGTAATTCTGATACTTTTGCCACCAACCTTCCACCCAACTTGCCTTTCTAACTGAAACTTCATTTCCTAATGCTTGAAGACTATTAGAATATCCTCAGAGTGAAAGCCATCATATGGTCTCTTTTTTTAAGAGTCCAGTTTTTCTCAAAAGGTGATTCTTAAAGGTGTATCATTAAGCATTCTCAGCAAATCGCTCATTAATTAGTTTTGATCTGTGACATCCTCTACTCTGACATTTTTCTGTGTCATTCATAGCATAATGAAAACAACTTAAACCAAGTATCAGAGGCTGAGATTCTAATCCTGTCCCCATAACTTGGTGGCTATGTGGCTTAACTTCTCTTAGCCTTGTTTTTCTCATTTTTAAAATGAGAGAGATGAAAACTCACCACCTAAAAACTCTCATTTAAGAAACAAATAAAAGACCAGAATGAACAAATGTTGACTCTTATAGTTATGAATGAAAGTTACAAGAATGACCTTAACTAATGGCCATCGACTTGTTTTCCCCTAGAAGTACTGATGCATTTCTACTTCTAGCAGAAAACTACTACTGCTATTCCCCCTAAAAGTAGTGAGGCAATCATCAGTGTGTATGATCCTTCACCTGAAGCTACTAGGGCAGTGGTGATGAACAGGGTGAGATTCCCACCATGAAGCATACTGGATGGATAGGAGCACTTCATCACAGCTCAACCAACGTTGCTCAGATCCAGAGAGTGAATTCAACAAGCCCGTCTACACCAGTCATTGCACCATGAGGATCTGGTGGACAGCAGAAGCCAGTGTCTAAAGAATACAGGGCTGGGGAATAAAAGGATATAAGAACCAAAGCATGAGTTGAAACAGGATAACGGGGGATAGGCTGAGGAAACTTCTGGAGTGGCAAGCCAATATCCACAGCTGGACCTGTTTAGATGCACAGGAAGGGATCACACAGATACTCTCTCACCCAGCTCACCTTATCAGTTGTGGTATGTGCTTGCAAGCCTGCCATGAAACTGGAAGAACTGGGAGGCCAGCCCAGTTTTCAAACTCAGACTCGTAAAACTTGTGTCCTTACTGAGGCTCTGAACCTCAGAGTTAAGGAATTTGTTTGTTTGTTTGAGACAGAGTCTCACTCTGTCACCCGGGCTGGAGTGCAGTGCACAATCTCGGCTTACTGCAACCTCCACCTCCTGGGTTCAAGTGATTCTCCTGCCTCAGCTTCCCTAGGAGCTGGGACTACAGGCATATGCCACCACACCCGGCTAATTTTATTTTTTTTACTTTTAGTAGAGATGGGGTTTTACCATGTTGGCCAGGCTGGTCTCGATCTCCTGACCCAAGGTGATCCGCTCATCTCAGCCTCCCAAAGTGCTGGGATTACAGGCGTGAGCCACCACACTCGGCCAGAAATTTGTTACTAGCAGTGATTAATGTGTGAAAGTTTGTAAATGTCTTATTTATATACATGCTTTACTTATATAACTTAGAACTGAGTTGACTTTGTCTGAGTGATAACTCCTCTCTTACTAGTATTCCAGTGGTTTTTTTTTTTTTAATTGAAAGAATGGGAAAACAGCCAGAAGTATGGGAATTGCACATAATCTGAGGATTACCCATGGGGTGTGGCATGACATTAGGGAACTTAACCAGTTATAGAAGGAAATGGTGAGAAACCAGTGCTGGGGCTGAGAAGCCTGAGGAGCCTCAAGGAAATAACATGAGAGAAGACATGGAACAGCTACTGAAGGCCTGTTATGTATTTCAGAGAATCTGGGAGGTACAAAGACCCTAGTGCTCTATGCTCACAATGGCAAAAGATGGAGGCACCAAGCTAATTGCAGATGGTCCTACATAGCCCTGGACTAATGATCCACCTGATGCTCATCATAAATCTTTTTCTCCCTAAAAGAGCTCCAGTGATTTTATAACCTTGCTTCACTCATTTGCAATTTTTTAACAGTAATATTCAGATACTAATTGCAGGAACAGAAAGGTACTTAAACCCATTCTTTTTTTTTTAAGTGATTCATTTACAATGTATGTATTAACAACTTGTGGTAGCCAGCCTCCAATGTGCCTCCCAGTAATCCCCCTTTCCTGGATATATTCATGCCCTAGAGTAGTCCTATGCTACATCATACCAGGGTTGGTCTGTGTGACAAATAAAAGATGGCATGAGTGGCCAGGAGCTGTGGCTCGTGCCTGTAATCCCAGCACTTTGGGAGGCTGAGGTGGACAGATCATGAGGTCAAGAAATCAAGACCATCCTGGCCAACATGGTGAAACCCCATCTCTACTAAAAACATAAAACTTAGCTGGGTGTGGTAGCGCGTGCCTGTAGTCCCAGATACTTGGGAGTCTGCAGCAGGAGAATGGCTTGAACTTGGGAAGCAGAGGTTGCAGTGAGCCGAGATCATGCCACTGCACTCCAGACTGGTGACAGAGTGAGACTCCGTCTCAAAAAAAAGAAGACATAAGCGATGACGTTTGCCTTCCTGCACTAGGTCATAAAAGATACTGCTGCTTTCACCTTGACCTCTTGGGCCACTTTCTCTTAGAGAAGATAGCTGCCACGCTGTGAGAACACCCAAGCAGTCCTACAGAGAGTTCCACTTGAAGAAGAATTGAGGCACCCATTTTCCAGCCTTGCAAGTAAGTGCACTATCTTGGAAGAGATCTTCCAGTGCCAGTCAAGCTTGCAAATGACTGCAGCCTCATAAGAGTGCCCGAGCTAGAACCTCTCAGCTAACCCACTTCTAGAAACCATGTATGATCATACATGTTTGTTGTTGTTTTTGATCATTTAATTTGGGATAATTTGTTATCCCAATAGAAAATGAATATATAACTCATGTGCTAATTACAAATTACTATTATCACTCATTCAAACCAGAAACCCAAGGACACTGATTTTCTACAACTTAAGAAATATTTAATAAAAATTTGTTACTAATTCCCCAGAAATAGCCCAAATAAATTTCAGGTTTTGTCGTATTTATGTGAATCAGCTTCTGACTTTGGTATATTATTTATTTGGGATTAGAGTCTGTTCTCTATGGTGGCCTTCCAGAGACAGGTCATTGGGAAGCTAATCTACTGTATGTTTGGATATATTTTATGATGATATCTAGGCTGTTATTTGAGACATGAATTAACAAGTTGTTTGTGATTATTTAAAAAGCCACAGTCTCATCAAAGGAATTTATTTTCCTCTCATGAATTTGGCAAAAAGTTTTTATGGTACCAGGAAGGAATGAGCAGCAAAGGTAATCTCTGGGTATTTTTACCACCTCTAAAATAGATCAAAAAATTTCAGGATGATTCTTCCTGTCTAGCAGAAGTTAGAAAATATAAAACCCAAATTATTATTTCTCACCACAGGAAAGGTGTGAACAAGAAGCAGTGTCAAAAGAAACTTGTTCTGCTCAGGCCAGTACATCATCCCGAGAAATAACACTCCCTGTTTCCTATGGCTTCATGACTTAGTTGGATCCCTGAGTTCTGAGAACATCTGACATAGCAACATCTGGGAGACAAGAGAAGAAACATATTCTACAGCAAAATATCAACTCTGTTTAGATTGGTCCCATCCTTAATTATATGTTGCCCTTTAATCAGTGCAAATAAGCAAAAGCTAGCAATATTTGCAAAGGTCTTAGTTATGACTTATTTTCCTTTAGAAAGAATTGTACCCACCAATTACTGACTGGGAAATGAAAGAAACCAAACTTTAATCAAGATTGTTGCCTAAAGACCAAAGAAAAGTAGGCCATCCAGAACATACTTCCCAAATATTTCAGCATAGTGTTTTCCCATATACTGCTACAGCCCCTTATTATCTGATGAGAATTTGTTTTTTATCCCTCTACCCCCAGGAAGCCCCTTCTGATACCTAGACTGTATGAAGAACTCGCCTCTCTGCTCTCCCTCCATGTAATAAGAATTTT